ATGGACCTAGGTCCATTGCTTCATCAAAATTCCCGAAATTATTTTATTTCGAACAATTTGTACTATAATTTTGGAATCTTAAGGCCGATTGAAACTAAAATTTGTCTATTAAGACTAAAATCTATGCTGAACCCGAAAATGTTTTCAGTATCGAGCTAGGTCCAATATTTCATAAAAATTTCAGAACAAAAATTTTGAACCAAATATCCCACGAAATTTCATTTCACATCAAGACTTTTCTAAAATGTGAGGTTCTTGTCCTGACTAGCAAAAATTTTTCAGTAGTCAAGACACGAACAGAGGAAATTTTGGAAAATTTTGAGATAACATAAAATTTTGTAGTAAAATCAGTCTGAAATTTTGATAGGAAATTTTTGATGAAATATTGGTCTCAGGTCCACTATGAGTACGTTTTCGGATTCAGCTTAAACACTAATCATGAATATAAAATTATTTCAGTTGTAGGTCTCAGGACCCCGATACAATACCACAAATTGCTTAAAATGAAAAAATTTCGGAAATTTTGATGAAATATTGGTCCCAGGTCCATTCTGACTCCATTTTTGGATTCAGCATGCGATTTTATCAGAAAGGTCAGTTTCCAGCCAGATTCGGCCAGTAAATCCCGAGTTTGAAGCAAAAAATAAAAAAAAACTGAAATTTTGATGTATGTTGGGCCTAGGACCCATACTATAACAAAATTAAAAATTTATTTTTTTGTTTGCTTCAATCTCGAAAACTACTGGCCGAATCCGGCTGGAAACTCGCTTTTCTGGTGAATTCCGATGCTGAATCCGAAAATGGACTCAGAATGGACCTAGGTCCATTGCTTCATCAAAATTCCCGAAATTTTTTTATTTTGAACAATTTGTACTATAATTTCGGAACCTTAAGGCCAATTGAAACTAAAATTTGTCTTTTAAGACTAAAATCTATGCTGAATCCGAAAATGGTTTTAGAATTTAGGAAAGTCCAATATTTTATAAAAATTTCAGAACAAAAATTTTGAACCAAATATCATACGAAATTTCATTTCACATCAAGACTTTTCTAAAATGTGAGGTTCTTGTCTTGGCTAGCAAAATTTGTCAATAGTCAAGACACGAACCCCCAAATGTAGAGGAAATTTTGGAAAATTTTGAGATAACATAAAATTTTGTAGTAAAATCAGTCTGAAATTTTGATAGGAAATTTTTGATGAAATATTGGTCTCAGGTCCACTATGAGTACGTTTTCGGATTCAGCTTAAGCACTAATCATGAATATAAAATTATTGCAGTTGTAGGTCTCAGGACCCCGATATAATACCACAGATTGCTTAAAATACAAAATTCTCGGGAATTTTGATGAAATACTGGTCCCAGGTCCATTCTGACTCCATTTTTGGATTCAGCATGCGATTTTACCAGAAAGGTCAGTTTCCAGCCAGATTCGGCCAGTAAATCCCGAGTTTGAAGCAAAAATTAAAAAAAAATTTAATTTGGATGAATGTTGGACCTAGGACCCATACTATAACAAAATTACAAATTTTTTTTTTTTGTTTGCTTCAATCTCGAAAACTACTGGCCGAATCTGGCTGGAAACTCACCTTTCTGGTGAATTCCCATGCTGAATCCGAAAATGGACTCAGAATGAACCTAGGTCCATTGCTTCATCAAAATTCCCGAAATTTTTTTATTTTGAACAATTTGTACTATAATTTCGGAATCTTAAGGCCAATTGAAACTAAAATTTGTCTTTTAAGACTAAAATCTATGCTGAATCCGAAAATGGTTTTAGAATTTAGGAAAGTCCAATATTTTATAAAAATTTCAGAACAAAAATTTTGAACCAAATATCCTACGAAATTTCATTTCACATCAAGACTTTTCTAAAATGTGAGATTCTTGTCTTGGCTAGCAAAATTTTTCAACAGTCAAGACAAGAACCCCCAAATATAGAGAAAATTTTGATGAGTGTTAGACCTAGGACCAAAAGTACAACAAAAATTTAAATTATTTGTTTCTCTTGAACTACTGACAGAATCTGGGTTGAAACTGACCCTTCAGGACAGCCCCCCTCATAATAAACCTAAGACATATAATTGAATAAAAATTTAGGATTTCGTGACCGAAAGTGTCTGTATCTAATGAAGCTTAGAAACCAGTAAAAACACACCTATCAACTTACCTTTGAATGTTTAGATTTTCCAATAATTAAACTCTTTTCATTTTGATATTTAATGAAGCTATTCAATAAATTTTCTTTATTAAATATATAAACTTAATATTAATACATTTGTAATTAATATCTCATGTATGTAAATTATAATAACATTGTACGAAAGTTATTATATTGAAGATAAATTGAATTATTGAATTAAATTAAGTTATAAACTAATTGTAGCCTGATCCACTATAGTGGGGAGGGTATAATGCGTTTGTGGTGATGTTTATAATCCCCCAAAAAGTGATCCTATCCCCTCCATGACGACATGGCCCAAGGACAAACGCTATTGAAAATGTTTGAAATAGGAGGGTCCGGTTGTATGACAATAGTTTCTAAACCTAACTAACTAACTAATCTACTAACTACTAACTAACCTAACTAACTAACGACTAACTAACTAAACTAACTAACTAACAACTAACTAACTAACTAACTAACTACTAACGAACTAACTAACTAACTAAACTAACTAACTAACTAACTAACTAACTAACGTAACTACTAACTAACAACTAACTACTAACTAACTAACGAACTAACTAACTAACTAACTACTAACTAACTAACTAACTAACTAACTAACTAACTAACTAACTAACTAAAACGAACTAACTAACTAACTAACTAACTAACTAACTAACTAACTAAATAACTAACTAACTAACTAACTAACTACTAACTAACTACTAACTAAACTAACTAACTAACTAACTACTAACCGAACTAACTAACTAACTAACACTAACTAACTAACTAACTAACTAACTAACTAACTAACTAACAACTAACTAACTAACTAACTAACTAACTAACTAAACTAACTAACTAACTAACTAACTAACAACTAACTAACTAACTAACTAACTAACTAACTAACTAACTAACTAACTAACTACAACTAACTAACTAACTAACTAACTAAACTAACTAACGAACTAACTAACTAACTAACTAACTAACTACTAAAACTAACACCTAACTACTAACTAACGAACTAACTAACTAACTAACTAACTAACTAACTAACTAACTAAACTAACTAACTAACTAACTAACTAAACTAACTAACTAACAACTAACTAACTAACTAACTAACTAACTAACTAACTAACTAACGAACTAACTAACTAACTAACTAACTAACTAACTAACTAACTACTACTAACTAACTAACTAACTAACTAACTAACTAACTAACTAACTAATAACTAACTAACTAACTAACTAACTAACTAACTAACTAACTAAACTAACTAACTAACTAACTAACTAACTAACTAACTACGAACTAACTAACTAACTAACTAACTAACTAACTAACTAACTAACTATACTAACTAACTAACTAACTAACAACTAACAACTAACTAACTAACTAACTAACGAAACACTAACTAACTAACAACTAAACACTAACTAACTAACTAAACTAACTAACTAACTAACTAACTAACTAACTAAATAACTAACTAACGAAACTCTAACTAACTAACTAACTAACTAACTAACTAACTAACTAACTAACTAACTAACTAACTAACTAACTAACACTAACTAACTAACTACGAACTAACGAACGAAGAAGAACTAACGAACGAACGAAAACTAACGAACGAAACTAACTAACGAAAAAAGAACTAACGAACGAAACTAACGAAACTAACACGAACTAACTAACGAACGAACGAAACGAACACGAAACGAACGAAAACGAACGAACGAACGAACACTAACGAACGAACTAAACGAACGAAGAACAACGAACGAACAACGAACGAACGAACGAACTAACGAACGAACGAACGAAGAACTAACGAACGAACGAAACGAACGAACGAACGAACGAACGAACGAACTAACGAAACGAACTAACGAACGAACTAACGAACTAACGAACTAACGAACGAACGAACGAACGAACGAACGAAAGAACGAACGAACGAACGAAACGAACGAACTAACGAACTAAACGAACTAACTAACGAAACTAACGAACTAAACGAAGAACTAACGAACGAATAACTAACGAACGAACGAACTAACGAACTAACTAACGAAACTAACTAAAAAACGAACTAACGAACAACGAACGAACTAACTAACTAACGAACTAACTACTAACTAACTAACAACAACTAACTAACTACGAACTAACTAACTAACTACGAACTAACTACGAACTAACTAACTAACTAAACTAACTAACTAACTAACTAACTAACTAACTAACGAACTAACTAAACTAACTAACGAAAAAAACTAACAACTAACTAACTAACTAACTAACTAACTAACTAACTAACTAACTAACTAACTAACTAAACTAACTAACTAACTAACTAACTAACGAACTAACTAACTAACTAACTAACTAACTAACTAACTAACTAACTAACTAACTACTAACTAACTAACTAACTACTAACTAACTAACTAACTAACTAATTATCCAACTAGAACAGAACTATAACAGAACTAGAATAGGACTAGAACAGAACCATAACAGAACTATAACAGAACTAGAACAGAACTAGAACAGAACTAGGACAGAATTAGAATAGAAGTAGATCAGAACTAAATCGGAACAGGAAGAGAACTAAAACTCTGGGTTTCAGTTATATCCCATCTTTTTTCCTGTGTTATATCATTCATTTGTTTAGATTTTAATTTCTAAAAAATAAAAAAGTAGCATTTTATTATTAATTTGAGTATTGAGGCATTCTTCCCCTCCACCAAAAATTTCTGTTTCATTCCACTATGTCTATTTGCAAACAATAATAAATGTATTGTTTTTATGCACGTGTTTACATTTTTTAACTCTCTCAAACACCTACAAATTTCATCGACAAAAAATTCGTCTAACACCATAATGGAAACTCCCGAAGATTGTCCACCGGCTGAAAAAAAGTTAAAAGAAACTGAAAGTGAAGAAAACACAACTCCCAAAATACCAGCTGCCTTAGAAAATAATCCCGGCTTTACACCACCCACTCCATTTAGTAAAAATCAACTGAAAAAACAAAGAAAATTAGCACAATACGAACAAGTACGCAAAGAAAGACGTCAAAAGGAAAAGGAGAGACAAAAGCAAAAACGTAAAGAAGCAGCTGAGAAAGGATTGCCCATAAGGACAGGACCTTCACGTAAAGAACTTAAGAAAAAGCAACAGGCGGCTGTTGAAAATGAAAATGCACTACGTATAGCTATCGATTTGGATTGTGATGATATGATGAGCGAACGAGATGTGGCAAAATGTGTAAAACAATGTCTGCGCATCTATACGATTAATAGGAGATCAGAGAAACCAGTGCAATTACATTTAACGGGTATTAAATCGGAAGGTAATATACACAAGTGTCTCAAGAAAAATGATGGCTGGGAAAATTGGCAGCTGAAGTATCATTTTGATGAGGATCACCTAAAAGTCTTTCAACCTAATAGCCAATTAGTGTATTTAACTAGTGAATCGGATAATGTACTTGAAACACTAGAGCCTTCTAATGTTTATTGTATTGGTGGTCTGGTAGATCATAATCATCATAAAAACTATTGTCATGACAAAGCTACCAGGGAGGGCTTACGTACGGCCCGTTTGCCTTTGGGAGAAAATGTGGATATGAAAACTAGAACTGTATTGACTACATATCATGGTGAGTTGACTAATGTGGATATTTAATAAGTGGTTTTATTAAGTTTGTTTTGTGTTTTTAGTTTTTGAAATCCTGGTACGTGTGGCCGAAGGCAAAAGTTGGGCTGATGCTATTTTACAAACTATACCACCCAGAAAGGGTGCTAAACTTAAGGAGGGTGCAGTTCTAAAAGGAACTGAGAATGTAGTTGATGAATCTGTTAAAACTTTAGATCTTCCGGTACAGGATGTAGCTATTAATACTTGCCAAGTAGAGAAAAATGAAGGCAATGACAGTTGACATCCAGTTTGTTAATAAATTCAGAAAAATTAAAAAAAAATAAAGGTTTTCTTTATCTTAATTGATAGATTGTTGGATAGAAAGATAGATATATAGATAAAAAGATGCATACATATAGTATGTATGTAGAGAATCGCTTCCTAGATATTTGTATCTGATTTTGACGAAAAGTTGGCAGTGACACAGAAAGTATTTCAAAGTTTGGCTCTCATCTCCGCATACATTTTATTCATCTGAATTCGTTTTACTAATTTTTCAAAGTTTTGCCTTTAGGATCATTATGGATCTACACTTTAATTCTACCCATTAGCTAATAATAAACAATATAATTTAAAATAAATTTTCTTTTTATTTACATAATTTATGTAATTAATCTGTAATTTAACTTAAAATAATTAAATGATCACTCCATCCCTTCTCTACACTCCAAACAATACGCGTCTTAACGTTTTCTATACAAACACGGTTTCAAAGCCAGCTGCGGTACATTAGCCACTTTGCCAACATTACGCACTTTCTTAAATTGAAAGAAATAGAACACCTTTTGGCCGACATCTTGACGCACCAGTTGAAAACCAAATGTATCCAGTTTTTTCACAAAATCTTTAACATTTTCAAAACGCGATTGTATCTCAGCTATATAAATTAAACCATCCATTTTTAAAACACGATTAGCCTCGAGAAGATAATCTTTTAAATTGGTGCCCATTAGGGAGAGACAGTAGACAGCGACATCTAAAGAATGGGTGGTTAAGGGTGTCTCAGCCATATCGCAAGCTATAATATCATCACGACAACTAACCAAATCCATGGAGATTACCTTATGGGGTACAGATTTAGCTAGCTTGCCCTCACCGCAGCCAAAGTCACCGATTTCTAGGGATTTGGGTAATTTTTTAATCATTTTTATTATGCGATCCAAAGGATTTAAGGGCCATTTCTCGACTTGATGGCGGTAACCATCGTGGTAGGCTTTAAAAGCCTCGGGGTCCTGTTTAAATAAATTCTCAGCCTTTTTACTATTCATGGTATAGAGCTGTTCATTAAGGAAACGAAAACGTCCACCCATAAGTTGTTCTTTAAGTTTGGCCTCAAAGGAATTTGCAGGTGCCGGGGTTGTTTGGGTCTCATCATCTTCCATGGCATCATCATTATCGTTGGGATCATTTTTGGCCAAAGCAATGGTGTCCTGTATGGCTTTACTTAAAGCCGGCGTAGGTTTAAGCTTTTGTTTCTGTTGCTTTTTGTTATTTTTCTTTTTCTCCACTTTACCCTTCTTGACCTTATTTATATCGGGCATTACATCATCATCACTTTCCAGCAAATGAGGAGCCAATGGTCCTTTACCTTTGTGTGGTGCCGCTGCATTATTGGAAGCTTTTTTCGGCTTTTTCTTTTTATTCTTTTTGGTTTTCTTAGCTTTGTTGGAACTTTGTTCATTTGCTGCTTGGGTTGGCTTAAATTTTACAGCCTCTGTACTTTTATCAAAAGCTGAGGGTACAAAAAATTTCATTTTGTCTTAATTTTTCCAAAAAAAAAATCGATCGGAATAGAAAAAGATCGAAAAATTATGTTCCTCTATGGTTGAACAAATGTAAATAAACAAATCACACGTGTGGTGGTGTAAAAACGCCCTATTAATTGTCAAATTTAAAGAGTTGCTGGATAAATTGTTTTAAGTAATTCTCTTTCAAACGATAGGGCAACCTCATGAAACGGTTTAGCATGTATTAGAGTAAAGGTTTGTGTCTGTACTAAAAATGACAACAGGGTGTATAGAAAAATGTTAAATTTAAAGAAATTAAAATAAAAAGAGTTTAATTAGCCAAAATTCGCTATTAATTGATTTATAAACAAAATTTTTTGAAAAACAAGCAACAAACATTTACAAAACCTTATTTTCTTTAAAACAAAACATGTAAAATTAATTTTATTATCCATAACTATTATTACTTTATTGCAAATGAGACCAACTTGTAAAATTGTGTGTTATTCAAGAGGATTAATAATTCAAAAAAGATTTTTTATAATCAAATTTTTATTATTTTTTTTTACATAAATATTTTATTACATTTCTTATCAATGGAATTATTATTTTTTTTTAATTTCAAGTATTTTGTCATTCAATAGTGGTTTCCGGTTGCTAAAATAAAATTCAGCAAGACAAATTTGTTGTTTTTTCAAAAAATGTTAAATGTAATTAAATATTTATGGGAAACTTAAATTATTGTTTGCATATTAAAAAAAGAACCACAAAAGCAAAGTTAATAAGAATAATGACCAAAGAAATTCTTTTAAAAATTTTTGAGTTTAAAATTAAAAAAACAGTAGTTTAGCAAAATTCAAAATTTTTACCTAAACTAACATACAAACAAAAAAATTAAGTTAAAGCTCAATTTTTATCTTATAATATTTTTGCTATTTTCTAAAAATGTCATCTTAAGAAAATTTTAAAAAGACATTTTATTTAATTTAATCGACAATGAATGTTTTACATACAATTCATTCATAATAAGTATGTATGTATGTAAGTATGTTGGAAGCTCTAAGTATGTATGTTTATAAACCTATATACATATATGTATATTAGGGTGTTCTATTGCCTGGTTTTTCTATAGTCTAGTCTATAGTCTAGTCTATAGTCTAGTCTATAGTCTAGTCTATAGTCTAGTCTATAGTCTAGTCTATAGTCTAGTCTATAGTCTAGTCTATAGTCTAGTCTATAGTCTAGTCTATAGTCTAGTCTATAGTCTAGTCTATAGTCTAGTCTATAGTCTAGTCTATAGTCTAGTCTATAGTCTAGTCTATAGTCTAGTCTATAGTCTAGTCTATAGTCTAGTCTATAGTCTAGTCTATAGTCTAGTCTATAGTCTAGTCTATAGTCTAGTCTATAGTCTAGTCTATAGTCTAGTCTATAGTCTAGTCTATAGTCTAGTCTATAGTTTAGTCTATAGTCTAGTCTATAGTCTAGTCTATAGTCTAGTCTATAGTCTAGTCTATAGTCTAGTCTATAGTCTAGTCTATAGTCTAGTCTATAGTCTAGTCTATAGTCTAGTCTATAGTCTAGTCTATAGTCTAGTCTATAGTCTAGTCTATAGTCTAGTCTATAGTCTAGTCTATAGTCTAGTCTATAGTCTGGTCTATAGTCTAGTCTATAGTCTAGTCTATAGTCTAGTCTATAGTCTAGTCTATAGTCTAGTCTATAGTCTAGTCTATAGTCTAGTCTATAGTCTAGTCTATAGTCTAGTCTATAGTCTAGTCTATAGTCTAGTCTATAGTCTAGTCTATAGTCTAGTCTATAGTCTAGTCTATAGTCTAGTCTATAGTCTAGTCTATAGTCTAGTCTATAGTCTAGTCTATAGTCTAGTCTATAGTCTAGTCTATAGTCTAGTCTATAGTCTAGTCTATAGTCTAGTCTATAGTCTAGTCTATAGTCTAGTCTATAGTCTAGTCTATAGTCTAGTCTATAGTCTAGTCTATAGTCTAGTCTATAGTCTAGTCTATAGTCTAGTCTATAGTCTAGTCTATAGTCTAGTCTATAGTCTAGTCTATAGTCTAGTCTATAGTCTAGTCTATAGTCTAGTCTATAGTCTAGTCTATAGTCTAGTCTATAGTCTAGTCTATAGTCTAGTCTATAGTCTAGTCTATAGTCTAGTCTATAGTCTAGTCTATAGTCTAGTCTATAGTCTAGTCTATAGTCTAGTCTATAGTCTAGTCTATAGTCTAGTCTATAGTCTAGTCTATAGTCTAGTCTATAGTCTAGTCTATAGTCTAGTCTATAGTCTAGTCTATAGTCTAGTCTATAGTCTAGTCTATAGTCTAGTCTAAAGTCTAGTTTACAGTCTTGTCTATAGTCCAGTCTATAGTCTAGTCTATAGTCTAGTCTACAGTCTAGTCTATAGTCCAGTCTATAGTCTAGACTATAGACTAAACTATAGTCTAGTCTATAGTCTAGTCTATAGTTTAGTCTATAGTCTAGTCTATAGTCTAGTCTATAGTCTAGTCTATAGTCTAGTCTATAGTCTAGTCTATAGTCTAGTCTATAGTCTAATCTATTGTCTAGTCTATAGTCTAGTCTATAGTCTAGTCTATAGTCTAGTCTATAGTCTAGTCTATAGTCTAGTCTATAGTCTAGTCTATAGTCTAGTCTATAGTCTAGTCTATAGTCTAGTCTATAGTCTAGTCTATAGTCTAGTCTATAGTCTAGTCTATAGTCTAGTCTATAGTCTAGTCTATAGTCTAGTCTATAGTCTAGTCTATAGTCTAGTCTATAGTCTAGTCTATAGTCTAGTCTATAGTCTAGTCTATAGTCTAGTCTATAGTCTAGTCTATAGTCTAGTCTATAGTCTAGTCTATAGTCTAGTCTATAGTCTAGTCTATAGTCTAGTCTATAGTCTAGTCTATAGTCTAGTCTATAGTCTAGTCTATAGTCTAGTCTATAGTCTAGTCTATAGTCTAGTCTATAGTCTAGTCTATAGTCTAGTCTATAGTCTAGTCTATAGTCTAGTCTATAGTCTAGTCTATAGTCTAGTCTATAGTCTAGTCTATAGTCTAGTCTATAGTCTAGTCTATAGTCTAGTCTATAGTCTAGTCTATAGTCTAGTCTATAGTCTAGTCTATAGTCTAGTCTATAGTCCTAGTCTATAGTCTAGTAGTCTATAGTCTAGTCTATAGTCTAGTCTATAGTCTAGTCTATAGTCTAGTTTAGTCTATAGTCTAGTCTATAGTCTAGTCTATAGTCTAGTCTATAGTCTAGTCTATAGTCTAGTCTATAGTCTAGTCTATAGTCTAGTCTATAGTCTAGTCTATAGTCTAGTCTATAGTCTAGTCTATAGTCTAGTCTATAGTCTAGTCTATAGTCTAGTCTATAGTCTAGTTTAGTCTATAGTCTAGGTCTATAGTCCTAGTCTATAGTCTAGTCTATAGTCTAGTCTATAGTCTAGTCTATAGTCTAGTCTATGTCTAGTCTATAGTGTAGTCTATAGTCTAGTCTATAGTCTAGTCTATAGTCTAGTCTATAGTCTAGTCTATAGTCTAGTCTATA